AACTCTCGGCCCTCCCCCATAAGTGCCATACCTGCCCCTCTGGGCCCCGAACCGCCTTCCCTGCGCTCCCAGTCTCCCGTTCGGAGCGGAGCCGCTGGTGTTGTTCTGGGAGCTGTAGAAGAGGCTCCGTGTGTGAACGGTCGATGGGGCACGCTGAGACCTCGGCCTTCAGCGAGAGGAAGCGCCAGAGATGGGAGCCCATCCTCATCCCAGCAACAATCGCCCTCACAGGGCCCAGACAGCCCTCCTCTTCCTCCGCTTCCTCCGCTATTAAACGGATCCTCCCCGTCACCTCGGACCAGCCCAGCCCAGGCTGCATCGCCCCCCTCTCGCCCTCACCTGCCTGCCCCCACAGACTATGGTTGGGAGTCTCCCCCCTCTGCCGCTCACCATCCCGAGGTTCCCAGCACCAACGGCCTGCATACGCCTCCCTCAGGCTCCCCACGCACTCCCCCAGGAGCAGTGTCGCCCGCTGCCTTACGACGAGGGCTGGAGGCAGTGAAAAACAAATCTTCCTCATCTTTGCCATCTTCATCGTCATCGTCTTCCCTACAGACACAGGGGGTTTCTCCGGGAGGAGGAGGAGGAGGCGGCGGGGTAGGAGGAGCAGGTCCTCCAGGAACGCCTCCGTCATCGTCCTCCAGCCCTCCGCAGGCTGCTGGAAGTGACGGACACGCCATCCCGCCGATCGCACGGCGTCTCGGCCATCACCCGCCGCAGAGCCTGAACGTAGGAAAACCGCTGTACCAGTCGCTCAACTGCAAGCCCATGCAGATGTACGTGCTGGACGTGTCCCGGGCCAAATCTGCCGGGGTGGTGTCCTGGAGAGTTTATGGGAACGGGACTCCGGCTGCGGTTACGGGACCACCGGAGACCAGCCTTCACACCGTGGTACAGGGCAGGGGAGAGCTCATCATTTTCGGGGGCCTCATGGACAAAAAACAGAATGTGAAGTACTACCCTAAAACCAACGCCTTGTACTTTGTACGCGCTAAAAGGTAATGCACCTCCAGGTGGGACTGGGGAGACGGACGCTCCGCCCTTTGACCACACAAGGGAACTGACACACAAGGCCTTTTTCTCGTAGGAAGGATGATGAGAAAAGAACATAATCATTACTAGATGTTTCACTTCAGAAATTCACTATTCTCCCTTCTGCCTACTGCAAGCATTCGAAAGAAAACACTTTAACTACACTTTGATAAAAAAAAAACATTTGCTTGAATGTGAACTCTTGACTGTGTGTGTGTGTGTGTGTGTGTAGGTGAGTGTGTGTGTTTGTGACTGCAGTGATTAGAGAGAGAGCCGGACTTTTTGTTGTTAACCAAAAGGTGAACAACCAAACAGTAACTTTTCTGTTTTCCTGTGTCACCCTCCTCTGAACTCTTGGGAAGAGAGGAACCCTGGAAGTGCGGACGCTGTCGACAGAAACGGTTGACGACTACCTTGCTTTTTGTATCACTCTTTAAGCCTGCAATGTTTACATCGACAACAGTGCGAGTGTGTGTGTGTATACGTGTGTGTGTGTTTGTGTGTGCACGGTGGTGGTTAAAAGTTGTTGAGTAATGTGTGTCGGGGGCCATGGTGGCTGAGAGATGTGGCACTGTACTATAAACATAGTTAAACAATAAAGGCCTCCATGTCTGCTCTGTCAGCATCGTAACCGTCTTGTGTGTTTGTTGTCTACCAAAAGTTGCCGCTTCTGTTGACGGTCCAGTCGCAGCTGTGTGGACGTAAACAGCGTTTATGAGTCGACGTCATTGTAAACGAGTGTTGGTCTAACAAACCTTAAACAACATGTCAAAGATTTTTCTGGAGAAATCAACCAAAGGTGTAAAACAAGCAAAGTACAACATATACAGAACAAACGGTTAATGTTAGATTGCATTAAACATCCAGCACAGGCAGTTAATGTACAACACAAAGTCCTCTGATGTTCCAGATGACGCAACCACAGAACGTTACACCAACCTTGATAAAACGTATGGAAGCAAAGAGAATACACAAGCTGAGTTTTTGAATATGCACAAATCCTTAATGTGAAATTTAAACATCCATCCATCATCTATACACCACTTCATCCTCACCAGGGTCATGGGGGGCTGGAGTCTATCCCAGCTGACTCAGGGTGAAGGCAGGTTCACCTGGACAGGTAACCAGTCTATCACAGGGCTACACTTAGAGACAGACAACCAAGCACACTCACATTCACACCTACGGACAATTTACAATCACCAATTAACCTCAGCATGTTTCTGGACTGTGTGGGAGGAAGCCGGAGAACCCGGAGAGAACCCACGCTGCACGGGGAGAACATGGAGACTCCACGCAGAAAGATCCCAGGTGTCCTCACCGGGACATGAACCGGTGACCTTCTAGCTGCGAGGCAACAGTGCTAACCACCGAGCCACCTTGCAGCCCTTATATGATCTAATTCAAATTTTTTATTTTTTTTTTTAAGTTTTTATTTTTGGCCTTTGTGCCTTTTATTGGATAGTGTTAGTGAGAGAGAGACAGGAAAGTAGGGGAGAAGAATGGGGGGAGGACATGTGGGAAAGGGTCATGAGTGGGATTCGAACTCATGACCTCCACATTGGGACTGTAGCCCTGTACATGGGACGCCATCTCAACCAGGTGAGCTATAGCGGCGCCTAATTCAAATTTTTAATATATGTGTGTACAAAAATCTTTGCAACCAACGTTTACGCTGAAACAAATCAAATGTCGATTTCTGACTTCAGTCGTCTTCCTGAACTCTTTGTCTGATCAGCTGACTGACGAAACAGGAGCACACAGGACAGAAGTGTGATCGATCGATTATCACTGATATCCCTCAGGTTGGACGTTGATATTGGTGTCTGACTTTTTTTAAAAACTTGGATTATACTTTAACAATGTGAATACAGCCTTTGGATTCTGGACACTTGAATATTTCGTCTGAATTTGAGGGAGTTTTATGGTTTGAAATGGAATTTAAACCACATAATTTCAAACAGATGGATTTCAGAGTACATAAAATATAGAGTATATTGCTTTAAACTCAGTGGAATTTACTTTTTAACACAAACATTTAGTGAAATCTGCATATAAATTAGGTGTTCAATTTATATAATGAGATTCAAACTGTGGCTTTTTTTGTTTCCTTCTATGAGAAATCTTTTAATATCTGCAGCATAACTCACCAATAAATGAACAAAAGTGATCAGAAGCTCCAGAGCAGCTGATTCAGACCTTTTTTGTGAGGTTTTTTATGTCAGCTGCTGCCTCCAACATGAAGAAAGAACTTTATTCAAACCTCAGCTGTTAAATCCGGTCTGGAGGCTGATGCTGTACTCGGTAGAGAAGCAGCCTCTAGTGGATGTTTCACATACAACATGAAATAAAAGAGAGCTCAGTTCTCTAAAAATAGTCTTCAGGCTTTGACAACTTATAATGAAATCATGTTCGACCAACAAACTACAACGAGAGGGGAGTTGTTTTTATTCACCACTTACCCAGTGATTGGAAGCATACACACTAGTTTTTAAGTTGATTATTCATAAAAGATGATGTTTCTCCAGTTAGTATTTCCATGTTATTTATAAGGATTTTTTTTTGTTCTGTACTTCATTACCATAATTGTGAGCACAAGCTTTAAAGTTGGAAAATTTAAAAAAAACAAATACATAAAAAAAGGAATTTTTTGTTTAGCCAGTTTCATTAAAGTACCTCAACTTTGAGTTTTCAGAATCAGAATCAGAATCAGAATCAGAATGTCTTTATTGTCACTGTATGAGAACAATTAAATTAAAAGTGGCATCCTTAAGTGCATATGTAATAAATAATTAACATAATCAAAATAAAATAACATTTAAAAAAAACATGTAAGACTATCAAGATAAAATATTCATAATTTTAAAAAAAAAACAAAATAAATAAATTAAAACAAAAACAAACAAACCAATTAATGAAAAAAACAAAGTTGACAATATACACAATAATAAGTGGATGCAATTGCCAACATTTTATTCCATTATTATTCCTTATTGTGTAAACCCAGCCTATTAAAGTAATATTTAAAATAATAAAAATATTTAAAATCTTTATCTAAACCAATAAACTAGATTTTTATTTTTTATTTTTTTAAATCATGCAGCCTTTCTTTAGATGAATTGGTGGGAACAGGTTCCTTGAACAACTCTTTATGATTGTAGATGAATCATGTGAACTGGAAGCAGCATCCATCATTTGCTCCAGATGTAGATCATAATCAACACATTCTTCACAACAAATACTGATTTGTACCAGATCAGTGATATTATTTTTCCCTCTACTAAATTAATATGATCCTAAAATGATAATTCCTAGAAGACAAACATGCATTCAGGTAAAAAGCGATGCAGTGAGCCTGGGCTGGTTTGTTTTGCTTCTGGGATTATCATGCTGTGTTTGGCGGATTAGCCTTGTTTTGACACCTCCCTCAGCCAGCCAGCACTGGGATCCTTGCTCTCCTTTCCCCTCAGACTCTCCAACCCCCCTCTCTGACCAACAATAACCTTTTACCCAGAGAGATCCGATAGGACCAGAGCTGGGGCAGTTTGCAGCGCGGCCGTCTGATTCGTGCAGCCTCGGGGACGTGGTGAGGTGGCAGACGGGACCGGGCCTGCATTGGCTCTGACCTGAAGCAGAGGGAGGAGACTTTGACAATGAATGTGCTGAGGACACATGTTTACAATGATGGGGGGGAAGAGGAAGAATGGAGCTGCACAGGAGCACTGAACACTGTGAGTTTCTGAATGAAGTGAGCAAATTCAAGGGATGTTTTTTTGTTTGTTTTTAAACTGTAGAAAAGCCTCTCAGAGTAGTTTGAGTGTGTGTGTGTGTGTGTGTGTGTTGTGTTTGTGCTGTGCATGTGTGTGTAGTTGCATGTTGGTTTGAATGAACTTAAACTGCAGTGGAGTGACATGTTTGTGTCAGGGGATCTCATGTATGTGCATACATGTCTGGTTTTGTGTTACATGAAGCTGTTTTCTCGTCGTGTTTTTCTCATTTCTGTAGTAGTTTTGAATGAATGGATGAATGTCGGCGTGCTGCAGGATGGAGGAGTTACACAGCTGCAAACATTATCTGACATCTACTAGGATGCCTGTCGCCTGAGCAGAAACCTGAACGTCTCCATTCCTGATTTGTTGGGCCGGCCTTTTGTAAACACACCTGAACCTCGCAATTTAGAAATGTTTGCTTAATGACGAATCTCTTGCAGATGGTGCCTCATTTGACCAGACTGCAAGTCAAGGACGCTAACAGAAGTAGGACACCGGAGAGACACAGTTTCCTGCAGCGTCATAGAAGAACCATGCAAGACGTGTTTTAAATGAGTTACCACACGGGCTGACAGCTCTGTTCTCTGACCTCAAGGTTACCGAGCTCTCTTTGTTCCCCTACAAACTGAGACAAGGGGAAAGTTTCCACTGGACTGACTGTGAAGTTCACGTCTCAGGGATGACCAGCGCTCAGCTGCTGAAAACTTCACCAGAAGAGTCTGTTTTTGGCGCCCAGCCTTCACACACGATGGCGTCCACCGTGTCCGCAGTCCCCCGCGGCGTCCTCGGCCCAGTGCCGCCCCCTCCAGCCGTCTGGCCTCCTCTGGACTTTGGTCTTGGCGCTCTGGCCTGCTGTGCAGCCTGCGTGTTCACCAACCCTCTGGAGGTGGTGAAGACCCGTCTGCAGCTTCAGGGGGAGCTTTGTGCTCGGGGGTCCTACCAGAGACACTACCGGGGAGTCCTGCAGGCCCTCTGGGTGGTGGGCCGCACGGACGGACTCCGGGGCCTGCAGAAGGGGCTCTCAGTGGGGCTGATCTACCAGGGGGTGATGAACGGCGTGAGGCTGGGCTCCTACTCCTACTGTGAAGCTCTGGGCATCACCTCGTTCCACGGGGGCAGTCTGCTGTCCGGGGCCGGGGCCGGGGCTCTGGGTGCCTTCATTGCTTCTCCTGCTTATCTGGTGAGTTTTTATTGGATCCTCCATCGTGGTTACTTTCCAGTTTTCCCAGAGGAAGGTGGAAGCCTGTCAGCAGTGGTATTTAAATAAAATATGGAGCTCCAGAGACGAGAACTGCTGTAACGGGGCGTCACATTTTTCTACTTCTGAGGTGATTTGGGTTTTTGAGGCTGAGCACTCAGTTAGAATCCAAACTTTTTGGCCTTTTTTGGTTCTCAGTGTGTAATTGTTTTTGACCATTCATCACATCATGCATGTCTGTAAGTTCACTAAAGATCTGATTTGACCTTTCAGACTGTTTTCCTCTGATCAGGAAGTAAAATTATACAGAGTTAACTTCTAACTTTATTAGATCTGTTTGAGAATTCAGGGTTTGTAGTGGAACTGTGAAAAGCAGATGGAGAGATGATGCTTATTTGTCCACATGTGGAAATTAAAACTAGACACACACACAAGGCCGGCAGACAGAAGACGCTGCTGTGCACATAGAATTAACAATACATGTAATTAAAACTGAAAGAAATTAAAACTAATCAATATTAGATGTGCAGCCTGAAGCTTCTGTAAGTTTGTGGATAATGTTGAACACCCGCTGCCTCCTGTTCTCTGTGAATATTTAGTCCTTTACATGTTGTACAGCATGTTTACCGTGATGTCGGCATCCATTACAGCGTCCATTAGGTCAAAATACTGAACCTGAAACCCTGTGTAGCGCTCAGAGTGGATCATCACTACGCTCAACGTTACACACAGAAAACCAAACAAGTTCCCGAACAGCTGACATAAGCTAAAAGACCAGCGGGCTAACGGAGGAAGACGATCCGGGCTTTTGTCCTCGGAGGCAAACATCAGATGTATAATTCAGAAGGTTTTACTTTACCACTATTTTTTTATATGAACAGTTTCAGTACAGTGTGAACTGATCGCTTTGAATGATCATCTATTCACAGAAACCAGTTTCTAATTGTTCAAACCTTGAGAAACCAGTCGGGTCATCTTCTCCTGAATTGTGATCCGTAGCAACAAAACACAGATTAATAAATAATATTATATATAAGGCAGGAGTTTATCTTCTTTAGTCATTCTAGTCTTAGAAAGTCTTTAAGCAGTTTTTTGTTTGCTTTAATCTCACCTCTCCTCGATACTGACCAATCAGACATCCCCATCTTCCAATGTAAGCATCGTGGACACAATCTGAAGCCCTTTTTTTGTGTCAAACCCATTTTAAAGAAACAAGAACGAGGATTCAGCAGTCTGTCTGACCAATCAAGCGGACATATTTTGAAGTTATGGTCTTTCTAGTATCCCGTTTTGTTTCCTAGCTGAGCATCACTAGACGGATAATTACACAAAAAGGGGACTTTTGTACTATAAAATCTTACTGTTGCATTGTGTGTTGGTATCAGGTTAGAAACAGGTCCTTTTAAGAACGGTTACCGAGGAATCTTTCTATGTAAATGTGAATATTGTTTGAAAACAGACCTGACAAAATGTGAACTGGTCCTTTAGCTTTTTTTAACCAGTAATGGGAAAGTTATTAAAGGGAAAAACAGCATTTAAAAAAAAATGGGATCCACAATAGGGTTAGGGTATATTAGGATATATAATAAAAATGAATATATTAGAGAAACAAAACAGGGGAAATAAAACTTGACTTTGTAAATCATCTGCATTCACCTTAAACCGCAAAAACAAGAGACTTCAGGTCAGTTTCAAAGGCGTCTCAAATGTCTTTGATCTATTTTTGTCCCGTACGAGGGTTTGTGAGGCAAAGTCGCACTGCACTGGTGTGTTTGGTGAAGTCAGGTCGGCCGTAGATCTTTTTATCCCCCATCCCCACATCCTCCCACATCCAGGCTCCGCTCTGCTTTGATTTTATCATTTAATTTGCCCTAAAACCAGGCGAGACTTAAATCTCTCCTAATGTTTGTTTTCACGTCAACACCGGCCTCGGATGTCTCTCGATTTATTGCCCCTCCTTTATGAACGTCCTCTGGTTTTATACGACCCGAGTAGTGTTGTTGTTTTTCTGCCTCAGCTGTCAGTCAATACATTTTAAAGCATCCAAGCTTTTGCACCGTCATGGAAAGGCAATATTGTTTGACATGCTCGTCTATATCCGGGTCACTAAATATACCCTGCACGTTGCTGCAACCCAACCCACTGCTGCCAAAAATATGCAGTATCTCGTGGCTGCTCGCCGTGCTGCTGGCGATGAATGAACGGAGGAGGGGTGAAGGTTATTTTATTGACACTCGACATACAGTAAGATCAGGTGGGACATAAGGAGGCCTCTTCAGCCCCCCGTTACATCTGCATTAAACAGATAATGTAGTGTGATTTGAAATCTAAAATAGCTTCTTAGTTAAGGTGTAACTGCAATTACAGCCTCAAGGTTTGGTACAAATGAATCACAGAAGAGTTTGTTTGACCTGTTCTCAGCAGGTTATGTAAGTCACACCAGGTGAACATTAGCACAGTTACCTGTAGGCCTTACATGACTCACCCTGACATCAGACATGATCCCGCTTAAACTCTGGTTTTGTTGGTGCAATCTCGTCTAAAAACAAAGCTGACTTCACTGAACAATCACCGTTTGTGTTTCTTTTCTAGGTGAAGACTCATCTGCAGGCTCAGACTGTGGAAGCCATCGCAGTGGGCCACCAGCATAACCATCTGGTACGACGCACACGTTCCACACAAGACTCATAAACACGTTACCAGTGGTTTTATTGGCATTTACTCGAGTAGCAGTATCACCATGTAACCGCTTTACTGCTGAGCAGACCCTCTAAGTGTCGTAGATTTTATAAAGTACTGATTCATAAATACAGATTTGTCAAAGTATAATCCTACACTAGGTCTATATAGTGCAAACTTTGTATTATAATATTGGAGAGTGTGATTGTACCAGTAATAGTGCGTCCTATTTTATGAAGTGTTCCCTTTTTTTGTACATTTTTCAAAGTCCTAAACTCCCATAATCCCACACTGTGGCTTTCAGCTCTCACTTTTTAAATTATTATTATTATTAGAACACATTCTTTCAAGTACAGTGCTGTCTTTGGGATTTAAAAAGTTCATCACGCATTCATTATTTCAGTCATTCAACCTTTGCTTGTACTCCAAAGAGCATTGCAGGGTGACCCACTTCTCAATGACACTGAGTCAAATTGCAAAAGCAAAGAAAAAGCAAAGAAAAATGAACAACCACGACATTCACTAACAGAGAAAAGGCACTATTAGGGTTTGTTAAATAAAGCCTTAAAGTGTCCTCCTCAGAGTTGATGCAAGTTCAAAGTGGTGATGTGAGAAACCTTACAAACGCCTTTAAAGACAATGTGATCCACAAAGAGTGAATCAACACTGATTTTATTTATTATGTTGACAGTATTTTCTGTAACGCTTCCTTATTGGACGTCTTATCAGGACTGTGCGGGCTTTTATGAAGCAGCTTAATGGACAGCTTATCTTACATTTGTTGAGTGTTACTGCAGAACATTTAACTCTGTTATCAGTCTCAGCAGGACAGAGTGTTATTCACAGCAGCTGCACCCAGTTTACACCTGAGCGACTGAACATAACCCATGTTAGTGCACTTTGCTTCAGGTCAGCAAGTAAATCTGTCAACTAATGAGTTAAATTATGTAATATTGCTCTCTGAAATGTAGTGGAAGTGTAAAGTTGCAGAATAAATATGCATAAATACTCATTTAGTACTTTACTGAAGCACAGACTTTGATTAAATGTGAACGTTACGTTGCACGACTGATGATTCTGTATTTTGTGCTTAAACTGGGCACCTGTGCAGCAAATCGTGTAACAACTGAAGAGAGGCCAACTACTTATATTTAGTCGGTCACGTAGGCCAACACGGTAACAGAACTGGAAGGGCACTTAGAGAGCGCAGTCCTCTGCCAGTGCCAGCACTAATGCCAGTGACCTGTCTTGCAATTTTAAAGAAAGCGATGAAGATCTGCACCAAAATCTAATAAGTTCCTCTTGAGCACCTGCAGCACTTCTCCACCGAGTGTCGTGAAATTCAGCCAGTTGGGTTTTTGCATAATGTCCACCTTTGGGTTCTGATAAAGGATAAATGCAAAGACAGACATGCAGCACTGACTGTGAGACCTCATATAGCCAGTATTATAATCACACAACTCTCTGCTGGTATAACTCAACGCTATATAAATGAAAAAGGCACTTAAATACACCAGAAAAATTCCTCTGTTACTATCTGCTGCCACCACATTATGCAAAACCATACACCGTAGCATAATAACTAGTATCATCTGCTTTTCTTCCATCGCAGGGAGTGTCTGATGCCTTTGCTACCATCTATAGAAGGGATGGTTTCATTGGTCTTTGGAGGGGTGTGAATGGGGCCGTGCCTCGAGTCATGGTGGGATCAGCTGCTCAACTGGCAACCTTCACCTCGGCCAAGGACTGGGTGTCACATTCCCAGGTAGACGTGATAAACGGTTCAGATTTTTTTCACAGCGACAAGTTGCCGTCAGCTGTGAGTCGACTAATCATCACTTTCTTTCTTCCTGGCAGTGGTTCAGTCCAAACAGCTGGCTCCCGGCGTTGATAGCCGCCGCCATCAGCGGAGTGGCCGTGGCCATCACCATGACGCCGTTTGACGTCATTAGCACGCGACTCTACAACCAGCCAGTGGATGAGTTTCGCAGGGTGAATGATCCGTCATTTGAATGTTTTCCACCTGAAGGCGCACTAAAGGCTGACGTTTTCCTTCTCTGCTCCTTAGGGCCAGCTCTATCACGGGTTTTCAGACTGCATGCTGAAGGTGTGCCAAACTGAGGGCCTGCTGGGCTTGTATAAAGGCATGGGCCCCGTGTTTGTGCGACTGGCCCCGCACACGGTGCTCAGCATGCTGTTCTGGGATCAGATGAGGCATCAGGCGGCGAAGCACACGAGCCAAGGAAGGAGCTGAACCAGCCCGACACCTGCACACTGCGCTCCTGACAGCTGTACCCACTGAAGTCCCCCGCTGAATAATTAAGCACGGAATTTACAGCAGACATGTGGCATTTTTAGAAATATTCACTTTTTTGTGAATTAGAGAGAGTTAGATGAGAGGATTGATACCACTTTTTTTTTATATGTTTCATGTAGGTGTTTACTTATCTCAGCATTAAAAGTGGAATCATTGGGGAACAGCTGGCTTTGCTCCGTTTGAAGGTAGAATCATCCATCTGTCTGGAACTCACTAATTAAACTCAGTCTTTTTTGTGCAGCTACACCCAGGTTACACAACGTACATGTAGCCATGTGCTGCATTACGTTCCTGGAGTTATGAGTTTCTCTGCTTGGAGCCAGAAGTTGTCCAACACCTTCTGGTAAATGGTAGATTGTTGTTGCTATGTTGTTTTTTTTTTTTATAGATTGAAAAAAAGGTGCTGTAACAGGTTAATCTGCAAACGTCAGAGCTGCTGGGAGCTGTTTCCTCCTATTTCCAGTCTCTGTGCTGAGCCGGTTTTGGCTTCATGTTCATCCTTTAGACACGAGTGTCGTATCAAACATCTCATCAAACTCTCTAAATCAATCCGTTGTTTTAACTTGTTACAGGAGGCACTACGATGGAAGAACACGGGGGTGTTTCATAAAGATGGGCACATGTTGCACTTACTGTAAAACTCATTTTGAGAAGTTTCTATCAGACTTCTCAGATATGTGACGACGATTTTATGCGTTATTACCTTAACGGATTTAGAAGCAATCTCGTGAGCTTTCATTCGTCAGCTTGCAGCAGATCTGACACGAGTGGCTCATCAATGGCGTGCCGACTACTTGAGGAACAAGTCTGGATTATTAACAGCCTGTATTCCATGTTTGTAATCCAGCATAGCTGCTGTCTTTGTTTAATGCATCATTCTAGTTGCCTTGTGTGTTATTTGGAAAGAAAAAAAAAATCAGATGAGCTTTTTTTGTTTGTTTTTTTTGTTTACTGATGTGTGAACTACCTGTACCTAAAGCCAAGAATGTCATTTGATTCGAGGGTTTTATTGACAGAAATTCAACCTCAGAATGCCTTTGAACAGCAGTAAATAATAGCAATAAAGATATTTTTTCTAAGATGTGTGTTGAATTAGTTTTTCCTTCTCCTGGGAGACGAGTGCTGCATCTCGGGAACCCGCTTAGATAGTTTAACAGTCAGTGTGTGAGCTCATTTTGGTCGAGTTAAAAGGTGTCTGATTGCTTTAAAAATCTCATTATCTTTCTGAGAGGACTTTCAGCCTCTTTCATCAGAAAATGATTAGACTGACATCCCCAATCAAACCCCGTTTAACCTTTGGAAGCATGCAGCTCGCTGAGATCTGATCAGCAGGAAGAAATGAAGGAACTATTTACCAAAGGTTTGGCTCAGAGGAATTCAGCATTCACATTAAGAAGTGGAATGAGTGAGAGATCATAGCACCTTCTGTAAAGTGTCCTCGTGGAGACATTTCAAAGAAAAGATGTTTCTCCCGTTCTCGTGGATCCTGGAAGCTTCTGTAGGGAATTTAAACCCAGTGGACGCCTTCCTTCGAGGTCAGTTTCATTGCAGTGGCACTTGTTTTAATTTTTTATCCCTAAACTCCCAGAACTTTCTCTACATGCCTGTTTTTGGTTTTGGTATTTCACAGGTCTTGTAGGCGCATGTGGAGTATCGGTGCTGTGCAGTCTGATGAGAGTGTACAACTTCATTCAGACATGCACGTGAGTTTATTCTTAGAAAAAGTGCAAAAATAGAAAGTGTGCTGAATTTCAGGAGCAGCGGAGTTAATCTCTAATTTTCTAATTCTGCACACAGCGATTGGGAGACAGAAAATGAAAGTTCTCGGAGATCAGCCTCAGCAGGCCGACCTGTGAGAGGGAGATGGAGAGAAGCTCTCCAGTTCTGGTCGCTGACTGTCCTCCTGTCTCTGGTGGGCTCCGGGGTTTCCTCTCTGTTGGTGCTGGAGTTCTGTCTCAGGGCTGTTTCTGCCTGGGCGTCAGCAGGACTGGTGAGTTCCTTTAATGGATCCATCTCAGGTTGTTTTGTTCCTGTGTTCACGTGTACACCTTCCTGATGCTGACCTGACACATCCATGCTTCTCTGTCCAGGATGCCAGCGGCAGAGGTGTAGATTTGCTGCTCATCCAGTGCCAGTTTTCTCTGGGCTGCAGCCTCACTTGTACTCTGGCCTTCCTCCATCAGGGGGCTCCACAGAGCTCCTTCAGCTTGTTTCTGGCAGCTGCTCTCAGCTGGGCACTGGCAAACTACAGCCACAATCTGTGGAGCCATGTGGCCAGACTCTACCCGCTGCATAGCAGGGAGCGTTACTGTGGCAAGTGCATCAGCCTCCTGACCTCCGGACACACCATGCTGGCTTCGCTGCAAAGAGCGGCTGTTTTGGCGTTTGCTGCAGCAGTTGTGGCCTCCACCGCTACGGTTTATGACCACTTTCTATCCCAGAACGATGCTCTGAAGTTCTGGACTCCGCTGACACTCTGCTACGCTATGTTGGTGGTCCATATTCAAGGTGATGGTCAGTGCAGCTGTGTGAGGAATGAAAATGGTTCTTCAGCCATGAGCAGTGATAAATAATGAAAGAGGCAGGTCAGGTCACAGCAGACAACATAATGAAAGACGTAGTAACACTAACACATGAACTAAGACATAAGTCAAGAGAAACTAAGATGAAAACAACATCGATGAATAA